CTTGTGATTTACAGCCCCTAAAATCCCACTGCAGGGTCAGTTATGAGTCGGTTCCAACTCAACAACACATAACTACCACAACAAAAACTGTTACTGTGAATTTGTCTTTTCAATTCTGTTGAAGTTTGATTTATGTATTTTGAAGCTCTGTCTTTGGGTATGTAGACATTAATTAAAGTTATATCCTCTGGTTCAAATGATTCTTTAATTATATAATGTCCTTCTTTGTCTCTTATGCTAGTTTTAATCTTAACATATATTTTATGATAAATTAATATTGCCACTCCATGTCTCTCGTGATTGCTACTTGTTTGATATAATTTTCTCCACTTTTAAACTTCTAGTCTATTTCTATCTTGTTTCTAAAGTGTGTCTCTTATAGGCAGCATATTGATGGATTTATCCATTTATCCATTCTACAACTCTTTCCCTTGATTGGTGAATTTAATGCACTGACAGTATAATTTTTTACTCTACTCTGGCTGGAGTAATGTGTGGTGAGTTGGGCTACTAACACGAAGACTGTGCATCTCTGTGGGAGAAAGGTGGGCAGCCTCATCCCATTGACATCTACAGCCTTGGAACCTCAGCGCAGGATCAGAACCCACAGGCTGGCAACACATGAGTGAGTGAATAATGATCAATAGTTTCGATTTTGTTACTGTCGTTTCTCTGAATGGTTTGTTTTGTTTTATTCTTCATTAAATATCCTTCTTTTATCTTTGTATTTTTTGAAATATAATTTTTATTTTATACTGTTTTACTTACAAACTTCATATACATTGTTTTTCACGCTGGATCGTTCTCATTATGTTGCTGATTTTCTTTGTTCCATCTATGATGTTGAGTTCTTTCTGTTAATGGAATTTCTTATCATTTCCTTAGTTGCTATTGTTTTAGTCTTTATTATTTTCAAATGCAGTAAAAATACTAAGTATACTTGCTTACTTAGCTCATATATACCAGTTTCCTGTGACTCCAACAGATCACAGTTTGGAAATTAATACTCAGCTTAGCCTACACACAGACAGCATTTTTACTGCATTTGAGTGCATCTCAAATTACGCTTTATCTCTCAGGTCTTGGCATAGTTGTAACTCAAGTACATAACATCTTACTTCAACATTAAAACAATAATGCCTTGTGACTGGAATGATGTTAATTATTCTTTCTTTCACTTTGTTTAGCAATGCAGAGAAATTCTGGTGTGGTGAATTTTTCATTCAAGTGGCCCCTTTTCAGAAACAGTATTGGTATTCAAGAGGTAATTGTGGTGTCAGAGGTTGGTGCAACGAGGCTTTCAGAAATACTTCTCTCTAAGGCCTTTGTGTATTGTCATTATCCTATCATTCTTTTCCTGATTTTATTGAAATAGTTGTGAAATGATTTCTAATAATTCTTTCTTGTTCCAAGTCCATTTGAAAGAGCTAAACACTAAAATCTATGGCCTTTTAGTACATTTAATACATGTGACTGTTATTTGAGATAGGTTGTACTGTTGATTTTGCCATCGAGCCAAGCATGAAGCCATTCTATAAATATCACCATTCTTTACATTTAATAGAGTTTCCAGCCGCATGTTGTTTAGAAAGTGGATGTCATTCCTACTTCCAAACCTGTCTTAAACTGGGTGTGCTCTACTAAACACTGTCCACCTTGGGTAGCCATTATGGCATTTAACATTCCAATGGCACAGCAACCCTAGGTTATTTCAGTACAGCGTATTGACAGAAGAGTGCTGTACCAGTAAGAAGAATGTTTCTCCAAAATACAATAATAACCAACTTTTAAATACAAAGGCCCTCCCCAAGGTCTTGTTGACTCTAAACATGAGGCTTAAATATACTATGTTTTTGTTGTTATGTGCCATCGCCTCACCTGCATTAGAGATATAGAAATAAAATTACTATTTGGCACAGGTTGAATATTCACAATGTCTTTAGTTTAATTCGTATATATATATATATACACATATATATATATAAAAGAAGGAGTTTGTTCATTCTGTAAGAGCAGCTTGAACTTCCTGTATCTTTTCATTAAAAGAAACAGTAACAGAACCAATAATACCTCTAAGGAAAGAATTTCACTTAACAACTTAGCGTTTTGGTCAAATGAAGTAGAGGAGGATGTTCTCATTTCATTAATCTGGATTATCCCAGCAGTTTGGGATAAATCAAAGGCTGGGAAAGTGAAGAATAGATTTCAGATTTCATACCTAATCTAGGATTGTCAGTATACATTCTGCTCTTCAGAACACACCAAACCAATTTCCAACCACCAGCATCTGAGTGTAAGTGTTTGACAGCTTTCCTTACCTCTGAAACACACTTCACCTACTTACCTGGCAGCCTAGAAGTGCTATTAACCCAGTCCCTGTGAGCAGCCTTAAATCCAATAATTGCCATGATTTGGCCTATAGATACCCTCATTCTCTCACCTTTTGGCTTGGAAAGCAAAGGCTACTTTTGACACTGCCTTGCCCAGTAGGATGAATTTCTAGTTACCCACAGTCCTAACTAACTTGATAGCTCACCTTTCATTGGCTGTCTTCTGGTGCAAATCATTAAAGTGTTGGGCTGGTAACTGAAAGTTTGGAAGTTTGAGACCACGCAGAAGAGCCCCTGAAGAGAGGCGTGGTCATTTGCTTACAAAAGCTTAGCCACCGAAAACCTGTTCTATTCTGGCACTCACGGGGTCACTCTGAGTTGTTGTTGTTGTTGTTATGTGCCGTCGAGTCGTTTGCGACTCATAGTGACCCCATGCGCAACAGCCCTAAACCCTGCTCTATCCTGCGCCAAC